GCCCCCACCACCACCACCACCGCATCACCGCACCGCCTTCGCACACAACGACCGATCACCATGCACTAACACCTCATGTTGTGCCGTCGCACAAATGTCGTGCACTGCCCATCCCACGCCATGTACCGTTGTGCCCTGGATGCAAGAATGTGGAGGCATGGAGGGGATGAGTGGGAGAAGTCATGGACGAGTGGGTTCCATGCGGTAGTGTGTAGGGAAAGTTTGTACGTAATGAGATTTAGGTAATCTACTTGAGGAGATGCAAAAGGGATTCTCCACCTTTTCTCTCTCCTATATCCGAACGTAATTTTAGAGAAGATAATTTACCAATTCTGTTGGACTTGCTTGATACCCATAAGTATGGATAAAACCTAAAAAATAAAACATTTCATCAACAAAACATGAAGCATCAACTACTAAACAACAATTAACACTGAGAAGTGATTGTAGTGATTAATCTACATCAATTGCACATGGATGCAGTCAGAGATGGAGATGAGGGCTGGTGTTGTAGATGGAATTGGTTTAGATGAGGTTGATGAAGATGCTCTAATGATGCCTTCGTTTTGTCAGAATTCCCGGCCACAGTCGTCCGAGAAAAATACTTGGGGTCTCTGTTTCGCCCTGATGGTGGAAGTCCGTGAAAAATCAGGGTGTATTTTTAGAGCGGGTGACGGAGATATGTTAAAGGAGAAAAAATGTGTCCTGGGAGAGTAGTGGAAGAAGATGACAATTTGATCGTTCTTTTTCGATCCAACAGCTTAGACCCCTTCATTCTAAACGGACTGATTTAATATTAACAAAACAAATCAATTGATGATTTTTTTTTGAATTGTTTAGATTGCTTATCACATATGTCATGTGGTGATGAATTGTTTTTTTTTCTTCTGAGGCTGGTCTACGCATAATATATTCCTCATTCAATTTTGCTAAATATCCGTCGATTGAGACTTGATTATGTCTCAATCCATACTATATTTATGGAAATACATGTTATGTCATTTGGCTGAGACTTAGTTAAGTCTCAATGGATGGAGACTCCTAATGCGCGCTACGTTGGCTCAAGCAAGATAGGTCCTCGAGTTTTCTGACCGAGTCCTATAATCGGCTGGTCCTATAATAGTCCAGTGGACAGTGAAAACATGCATACATCCGTCTTGTTTCATGTGAGGTGCGGCATTTCTTTGTTTCCCATCGATCAGAGCGGCTCGCAGGCAGGCAATATCATCAAGAGCGTCAGGTGCTTGTCAGCATGCATGGAGGCATACATATACAAAATCAAACACAGAAATCACTAAACAAAACGATCTCGTCAGAACCGAACAACGTAACGGTACTACTGTTACGTGCATCTTCTACGTGCGTCTGCTAGGACAGTACACATCCCAAGGCATGCGTGCATGCATGACCGATCGAGAAGAGAAGTGAATCGTTTTCCCTGACCTAGCCGCCAGGAGCGGCGACCAGGCAGGCGACCAGCCTACCACCGATCTTCACCGGTGAGATCGTTGGTC